CCACAGCGGCTGGGGATGAGGGGATCTGCGGCCCGACACACTTGGGGGGGCACCAGGTGGTGGAAGAACGCTTTGCAGACTTTCTGTGGTCCCTGCAGGACCCTCACCGCTCTGGCCTTGGGGATACGGACTTCCTGCAGTGGAAGGCGTGTGCAACGTTTGCTGGGGCTTGGACGGCAGCGGCAATTTTAAGCAACAAAAATAGCATTAATCCAATTTATGACTGGGAGAGACCATGTAAACAAACAGGAAGGTGGGGGGAAGATGCTGCCTGCCAGGATGTTAATCAGCCTCTTTTCTATTTATGGCTCGCGCTGAGCAGGCGCAAGCAATTTCTATCCCAGGTGTGAATGCCCACAAGAGGAAGCGAGGCCTGCCTCTGGGTGGGAAGCACCTGCTTCTCTCCCAGGGCTGGGAAGGTGCCAGGGAAAGCCGCCGCCGACTCACGGCGTGGGCGCTCCAGTGCGCCATCTGGTTGCCCGCCTCAGTGCTGCCTGGCATGGGAAAGAGAAGTGGGGTGAGCCAGGGCTCCGGGGCCTTCCCCGTGCCTGGCCCCCTGCCTGAGTCGCAGAGGCCAGAGGCACTCCGCGTGGAGTCGCAGCACCACGGGCCGAACAAACTGCCTTCCCCCACCCAGAGGTGGATCGCGCAGAATTATCCTGCTTCCCGGAGCCACTGAGGGAGCGGCTGGGGTCCGGCAGAGTCCCGCGTCCTGACCCCTGGGACTCCTGGCCAGCGTCCGTCGAGAGCCAAATCGTCTCCAAGAGAAGCCTGTCCGAAGGAAATCCACCTTTGACTGGAAGCAGCTCCAAAAGCGCAGACGACGACGACCTGCCTGCTCTCTTGTTCTCTTGGGCTTCCTCTGCACTGTGGAAGTCAGCGCGTGTCAGGACTGAACCCGGCCTGAGCCAGGCAGTACGCGGTGGCCACTGCTGGTGCCAGGAGTCCTTCTGAAGCGTCCCGAAGTGTAAAGCGTGAGGGAAAGGTGGGACCAGCACAGAGCTGTCTTCTCAAGCCCTTCCGCCTGGGCACGATCCGCCAGGAACAGGCTGCCTCCACACCCAGGCAGGCTCTTCACCCAAAGGCGACGGGGGGGCACCGGCACCCCTGCCGAGGCCGCTGGAACCACGCACGGGTGTGCATCTGATCTACAGCCGCAGCTCCCAAAAGCAGGGATGCCGGAGACTTCGCAGAACCGCCGTGGAGGCAGGGACTGTGGGGCGAAGGCAGAAACCGGGGAAGCCAGGGGACGGATCTGCAGATCCCCTGGGGCTGCCCCTCCCTCCAGCTTCCCTTTTCGGCTACGTTTCTCCATATATTGAACTCCACCACTGCTTTCAATGGGCTAAGGCTGGAGTATGCAAAGCCCAAATTTTACCTGCAAGACATACATTGGAAAGATGTGGACTGTGGACCTCTTCAAAAGGAGCCTCATAAACAGGACGGACGCTAAAAAGCAGGATTGGATCCCATGCAAAAGAGCTGCGTTGATTGCATTCGTTTCCTGGCCTTTGGTGCCCCCTCAACAGCGATGGAAGCTTAACAGAAATGAGTCGCCGTTTTAAAGCCCACATCAAACAAGTTAAATAACTCTTGCTTTCTTAACGACATATTAATCAAACTGCATTGATTCCTGAATCAGATTCCGTTACCAGCCGAGCCCTCTGTCTTCCTGGCTGGGATGTGGGCATTAGGGGAGTTTTATCCTGACAGATACGATACAGCAATCAATAAAGTCTTATTATACGGAGCTGATATACATGGATTTGCTCGCAGGATTTATGCACTGCTTTCAGTGTCAGCACTATTTCATGCCTCGGCCTCCACCTGTAATTGAAAATAAATCTCTCCAAACACTCCCAGGTTCCTGTTTCTTGGACGCCTCGGCCCATGTGAATGGAGCAGGCTGTTCCCGGGGAGAGCGGGCTCTGTGGTCTTGCCATTTCCAGCGCAGCCTCGGGGGGGCGATCCTTTGCACATGGGGAGGGCGCACGGGGGCACACGCGGAAAGGAAAGCCCCTTTGACGCTCAACCGGCATTTCTGGGGAGGAAACGTTCCTGGCGTGAAGCCCCCAGCTTTCCAGGGCTGGGGGAGCCCCAGAGCCACGCATGGGGCTGCAATCGTGGATGCGGGGGCCTAGGTGGGGACCACCGTGCTTCCTCGAGCCAACGCAGGCCGCGTCCTCCCAGCTAGCGGCGTCAGGAACACGGCCGGCGGAAGCCACTGTTGCCACGCACGTGTCACTTGACTTGCTTGCTTGAGCAACCTGCAGCCCGCATGCTCTCCACGCGCTGGAGTCTCCGCAGCTCACGGTGCGCCGCGGCCCCGGTCCGGTGGCGAGCCGACGCCATTCTGTGGATTCGCATCACGGCAGTGGGATGCGCGTGGCGCTCTCCTGACCCGCGTGGCGTCCCGCCCCGTTCACACACTTGCCAACACGTGGCCAGCACTCGGAGCACGGGGGAGGCGCCACCTGCCACAGGAGCCCGGCTGGCAGTCCAATGAATTGTGCCCACCGGCCCGGAAGCACCAGCTCACAGGCAGGATCACTTGCTGCGCTTCGAGATGCGGAAGGGCCAGGGCACGCCACACGGGTAATTCAAGTTTTGCAATGGCCGCCCGGAAATCAGATTCGTAGAGGTGCAAGGGGGGCCGCGGCAGCCAGGTTCCCCTGCCACACACAGGCAAGCAACCTCTCTCTCCCCCGAGCATCCCTGCCCAAGTCTGCATCTCCGACTTGACCCCAGCAGGCGTCAGCTCTCCAGGGCTCTGGAGCGCCACCTCGAAGCGGCTCGATCCATCACAAGGTGCGATGTGTTAGCAGCCCCACGGGCTCCGCTGCGGCAATTGCTCTTCATTTGCTGACCTGCTGGTTTGAGACTGTCACGAGCCATCAGCAGAACGCTGAATTATGGCTCAAGAGGTATTCGAGGCAGAGTGGACCGCTGTCACCAGTGCTGCTTGGCTCCGGCTGCACTCCCGCCCGCCTGCTTCCCGCGTCCTTGAGGAACGTCGCGCCACACCGGGCCCTTGCCGGGACGGGAAAGGGAAACCCGTCCCAAAACCGTGTGGAGACTCAGGGACACCAGCCTGGGCCCAGCTTCCTTCTGCTTGTGTGAACCTGCAGCAGAGTGTTGCCTCCACGCTGCCAAACGAGACGCTGCACCGCAGGGGGTGCGCGGCAAGCAAGCGATTGCTCAGGGATGGGTTAATCCCAGGCGCCTGGTCTCTCCAGCAATTCGGAACCTAATGCTGGCTGGAAGGGGTTTGAGGTACTTCCCCCCAGCCTTGGTAGACTCTGTCAGCAAATGCCCTTGTTGCAGCTATAATCTGCCTCATTTGCATTCCTCAGGAATGGCATGGCAGTAATTAACTCTGTTCAGCTCATTCAAATGCAGCCTCCAGAACGGGCTTAGCAGCAGTCCTTTTACAGCCAGGCATAAAAAGCCCCACCGGAGTCGGTGTTTCCCTGGAATTCAGGTTACGATCGGAGGACTTCCATGGCCAGAAATATCTAAACCAGCCAAGGCCAGGAGTCTTCTGCCCACTGGCCTGCGACACGTGCGGGGCCTGAGCACCCCAGTATCCACCTGCAGGGATGTTGGCAGACCTTGTCCCCACAGAGGTGAGTCTGTCAAAGCAAGAGCAAAAGCAGAGGATCCAGCTGGGGTTGGGGGCGGGGGGGGACAGAGTTCAGAGGGGGGTGCAGACGCCCCTTCCTCCAGCCAGGACATCGGCTCTCAGTGGAAGGAGGGCTGGAGAGCAGCCACATGTGCTTGTTGCCCGAGTGTGCTCTGTGTGTGCGCGCACGTGCGCAGATCGTGTGCAGCTCTCTGAACAGCGAGCAAAGGGGCCTGGGTTTTGCATTTCACACCCCCTGGAAAGTTGTTGCCTCTGCAGCATTTTCAAGGGATTCAAAAAGGAGACAGGAGGAGGACTGGGAAGGGGGAAACAATCCAAAAGGCCACTCCCTTCCCTTCTCGGCCAAATGAAATTAAGAGCGGATATAAAAGCTGGGTGGCTACGAGGGGTCTCCAACCCATTTCTAGTCCGGGGAACGGCTGCTCCCCCACCCCTGTCCGGCATTCCTAGCTGGGAAGCTAAATTCGGCCTGCGAAAGGGTTAAGATTAATTTATACTGATTTCCATTTAATATCATTCTCTCCCCGTAGGAGCCGGCAGCTGTGAGCTGATTGTAGTTTCTCATTATGCAGTCTGTATCGCTAATGGTCTGTGACAAAGGCATGGCATCTTCCAGGCCGTACCCCCGAGAGCCAATTAAACACACATACTCCCTTCCTGTTTGCGGTGCATTACAATGAAATTAAACTGAATTTCAAAATCATTTTCTCCTAAAGACATCTCTTTACAATAATTAATGCATGCTATTCCTTTGCATCTGAAATATTCATCAGGAGGGTCAACTTTAAAAAAAAAATTGGCCCGGAACCCTGCCTCGTCTGTCTTCGTCGGGCTGCACAGTCTTCTCGCGCCTCCGGTGAGGAGTGCTGCGCGAGACGAACGGATCTTATTCACGTGAGGGTCCCGCAACTCACCCAACGCAGCGGCACGCACCGAAAAGGGCCGGCAAGCCAGAGCGGGGGAAGGGGGTCCGCCGCAGCCACAGCGCCAGAGCGTCTATTGAGCATGTGAATGCTCCAAGGGCTTCGCCCACGTTACCTTGCAAGCTGTACAACAGCCCTGCAAGGTGGTCAGCGTGAACCCCCCTCCAGGCAGAGGGAACAGCTTGCAGAGCACCCACGGCACTTCCCAAAGTCCACATGTACCCCACCGACCTGAAAAGCTGGGGAACACCTGCCCCACAGGCCGGCGAGCAGCCGTCTCCTGCCAGGGGAGGCTATTGGTCTGCTTCGCCCAGCACTTCCTGGGGACACTCTCCAGGGATGTGGCCGCCCTGGCGCCTTTGAACCCAGAAGCCGCTGCGCACCGAGTGGGTGGGGGCGCCCCTGGCCCCGCTGCCCGCTGCGAAGCGAAGTACCTGTTCTGAACCAGCCGTCCGGGGTGAAGGCCTCCCGCGTCTCCCTCGGTCTCTTCCAGTATTCGCGGAACACCGTCGGCCCCGCCACAAAGAGCTCCCCTTCCTTGCCACTCAAGCCCGGGGTCACCTGAGGAGAGACGGAGACGGTGTGTCCTCGGCTGGCACAAGAGCGGTCCCCTCCCCGGACCAGGATGGCCAGACGGGTCCGGGCATCCCGGCACGGGGCCTCCCTCTTGTGCCAGCCCGATGCGGCCGGGCAGCCCTCCGAGAGGGACGTGCACCGGGGAGTCCTGCACTGAGCTGGGGCTGGTTCGGGTGGCCCTCCGGCCGCTTAAACCCAAGGATTCTGTGATGCCCACAGTCTGCCGAGGACTGTGTCCGCTGCCAGAAGCAGCATCAGCCCATGCCCGGAAGAAGCAGCAGGCGTGAGGCGCTGGGGGAGGTGGGGTGCCAAGGTGGTGCAGCGAGCCTCTCCCCCTCCAGACGCCGCCCCCAGGGGAGTCTTAACAGACGCTTGGAGGCCGGCAACGAGGATGGGGCCTTCTCAGGCTGGCCCCTGCATGTGGACCCACCCGCACTGACTTTGCCGTCTCCGTGGTGCCGGGACAAGGCTCCCCCCCACTCCCGGGCCCTTGGAGGCACCGAGCAACCGGGCTCTCTGTGCATCCGGCCTCTGCAGACGCTTTCCCTTTTTCCGTATGTTTTGGTATTTTAATGGAAATGGCGTTTACCTATTTATAGGTTGCATGTTTTCATGATTCGGTTGTGAATTGTGTTGGGTCTTTATAAAGGACAGCAACAAGGGAAAAACAGAAATAATTCTAATAAATAACAACCGTGATCGATTGATGCGCAATATCTATTTGAGGGATGGGCAGTTGGCAGGTCACTCCAGGCCCAAACCTGAATCTCAGGGCTACAGTTTCTAGCCTGCCATCCCAGCCATGGAAGGGTCTGCATGGACCGAGAGAGGGCCAGGCCCCAAATGCCCCCTGATGTACTCCAATTTTCCCCCGGGCCAGCACGTCTATCTGGAATTTTCATAGTGCGTTGTGGGCACCCTCACAAAATGGCTGCTATGGGCTCCTTGCCCATTCTTCGCATGCCAGCTGTGATGGGCCACCGATCATGCATTTCCCAGAAGGTAAACTGGCTAAGCCGAAAGAGAAGCGACTCATTCACGCGAGGCCGAGGTGCGCCCTGAGGGCCAAAATGCAACGGGCTCCCTGAGGCCCACACTTGGCAGCCCCAGCACCCACTGCTGAGGCCGAGAAATGGAGCCCAGAGGCATGCGCAGAAATCAAAACCAGCCTTTCAGGGCATGCCAGCCTCCTGGTCATGTTCCGAAAACAAGCAAGCGAACAGACCAACAAACAGGCGAAAGACACTACATCTTGAAAAGCCAAATAAAAACCAGGGAGGGCAAGCCCCGAGAGGGCTCTGCTGGCCTGTGGCGGCTGCAGGACAACGAACAACGGCCTTTGAGACCTAGGTGAGGGCTGCTGAGGCTGGGAAATCAGACATCCTGCAGAGCCGAGCGGCCCTTTAGGAAAAACCACCACTAGACAAACTCGACCGGAATGCCTGTCCCATCCGCTCGCAGGTCGTGTGGTGGGTGGTGCTGGTGGGAGCTGCAGGAGACCCCCGCCAGGTGCTCTGGCAGACCTGGGTCCTGGCCAAGCATCGCAGCCCTCATGCTTCGGCTCCCTGGCGGCAGGACCGCCGCAGCTCTGCAGCTTCGTGGTGCCACTGCCGGCTCCAAGCGAGCAAAACAGAAAGCCCAGGACGCGCCTTTGGTGGGATTCTGCTTCCGGAAGCCAGAGGGGCAAGGCCAGGCTCTCGGGCGCCCTGGAGGCACGCAGAGCCGTTCAGCGCAAAGCTTGCACGCAGAGTGTGGGCGCATCCGTGCACGGGAGCGAAAAAGGAGCGTGTGAGATGCCCGCAAGCTGCAGCTGTTGGTGCGCAGCGCACCGGCAGGCTAGATGCAGGCATCTCGATACCCTGCAAGCGGGAGATGCTCCTTGCTCCCGGAGGAAAGCTTCCTCTGCAGCCAGCTCGCATCCTCTCCCTCCTTCCTCCGTCAAAATCTCCAAGGCACTCTTTTGTTGACACACCAGATCTTACTTACAAGCGGCTGCTGAAAGCATCAGATGGCTAATTGCAAGGCGTCCCATTCGCCAAGTGCCGTATTTTAACGCGTGTTTCAGCTGCTTTAATGCGCTCAAGCAACTTCAACATGCGCACACCGCGTGCCCTGGAAGGCTGGTGTTTGATAGCTTTTCCACCGCAAAATGGATTCAGCAAGCTGAGCTGGGCCAGCCGGCGCGCCAGATAAGATTACATTTGCCACACATGAAAATAAAAAGGCTGTAATAAACTCTCTGAAGGAATAAATCCGGGTGATTATAAAATGCATATTTTCAATGCCTCAATTTTACCTCTCTATTAGTGAGCAGTCAAGGTGACTGGCAGAGGCGAGAGTCATGCCCAGGTAAGATCCACCCCCTACCCCCGGCAATGCTCAGCTGCTAATGGGCGATTCCTCGGACAGCCCGGCCCCTCCAGCCTGCAGCGCTCCAGGCAGCCTCCAACGAACACGGATGCCGCCGGACTGGGAGGGCCTCCAACCTGGTGCTGCACGGCCGGGCTGCAAGAGCCTCCGCTCCCACGGCCACAAAACCTTCCACCTGTCTTGCAGCGGCTCTGCAGAGGCCTCCGTTTCTGTGGATTCCATTCAGCGACTGTGGGAACGGGGCAGGGGCTGCACCAGTCCTGGCCTGGGAGGCTTCCCCCACAGTCTTCCCGATCGGAACCTGCGTGACTGGCCTCATCCAGCCGCAGTGGATTCACTAGCTTTATATCCCACTGTCCCCCAGACGAACTTAAAGTGGCTTGCATGATTTTCCTCCTGCTGCTCTGATTCTCATCCCCCACAACAACAACCCTGTAGGGCGGGCTGGGCTGAGAGCCTGGGACTGGCCCAAAGTCACCCAGTGGGCTCCACGGCCGAGTGGGGACCAAAACCGAGACCACCCGCGTCCCAGCCCCGCACTCATAGCCACGACTCCATGCCGGCTCGCTACATCACACATACTACAAATACTGTGCCTGTAGAGAGAATAAATGAATAATAAGGAAGGCCCATGCGCCAGTTCCAAGCTCCCCCCGTGCCAGCTGCTGGGGAATACCGCTGAACGGCCAGTGTGGAATGCGGGGGGGGGGGGGCGGCAAGCTGCCTCCGGACTGATGGATCCAGGGGGACCCCGCCCTTCCCAGGGCAGTTCCTGTGTCCTTGCAGAAGATTTATGGCACACCCATTTGCCGGCGGCTATTAAGCATGTTGGGCTAAGCACGGACCCTCCCTTTACAGGGGAAGGGAAGTGCTAAACAGCAAATGCCAGCGACGAGGAGAGGCGGAAACCCGCGAGGAGTCGGGCGGATCTGCCTCCCCGGGGAGACGCCCTTGCCGTGCCTCCCGCTCCCCAGCAAGCCAGCCACGCGGCACTGCTCCCAGCCCGGGGACCACAATCCTGTCCGTCCGGCCGAGCGGGGACCAGACGGAGCCCTGGGCCGAGGCGCAGGGCAGAAATAAAGCATCGAAGCTTTGTGCACTGCCAATCCACACCCCGCCCTTGGGCACACCATGACGGACACATGCGCAAGGGCACGCCCCCTGCGCAAAGGCCCCGATGAACGCCCCCGGCTGGTGCAAGGACGGCTGCGATTCAGGGCCTGGGGGCCGCTCCCTGCAGAAGGGGCTGGCAGTGGATGGTGCCCTTGCCCTGGGGAAGAGTCCAGCACTCGCCACTCGTGTGGCCGTTAGCATTCCCTGCAAGGAGCACACCGAGGCAGCAAAAGTTAAAAAATGCCAGTCTTTCTAGGGGGACATGGTTGTAAATGCACCAGCTGTGCGCTCCATGATCACTGGGAGCAGCACACAGAAAAAGCAATAAAATTTAAATTTTAAAGAACCTCTTCCAGAATGGCATATTCCCACTTCCACCATCATCACCGCCTGGCACTGGTTAAAAATGCAAAGGGTTTGCATTGCTGACTTATATTTGCAATTAAATGATTACCTAAATCAAAGTACTTAAGGAATACTGGGAAATTTTTTCTGGGCAAGGGTGGGGGTTCAGCAGGAGGAGATCACTCCTGCCTGAGCCGCCTGCATAAATGAGTCATGTTATTAATCCATTTGCTTGACGAAAATCAGGAATCTGAATAAACAATATTTAATCAGAGTGGAAGAAACCGCAGGGAGCTCGCTCTCCATGCCCCTTTGGGTTCCACGCAGCGTCTGCCGCTCCGTCCGTGCCTTGGCCACACGCTGCCACCGCCAAGGCCGGACGCGGCACTGGCCTGAAGCGGCAGGTTCCACCCCTTTGACCGCAGCTCGCCAGCGGCAAAGGCTCGGGCACAAACCCTTAAAGCCGCTCCTGGTTTCAGAGCGCCTGAGATGGGTGCTAAAAGCCGCCAGCTTCGCGGGTCCCCTTCATCTTCGGTTCTATTTCTATCCTGCCCTTTTTCCTCTTGGGGGGAGACCACACGGTCCTCCTCCACTCCATTTTTATCCTCATAACCACAAACCTGCGAGGTAGGTCAGGCCAAGGGTGGGTGACTGGCCCGAAGTCCCCCGGGGGCTCTGTGGCGGGGCAGGGGGATGGAAAAACAGACCTCCCAGGTCCCCCGGCCACCCTCCCAATCCGCACACGGCACAGGCTCCTCAGAGGCCACTGCGGGAGGGAGAGCCATCGGGGCTGCACGCGGGAAAGCTAGGCCGGAACATTTTGGCGCCGGCGCCGCCTGTCACTCCTCTTCAAGGTCTCCGGCGGCTCCCACGCCACCTCCGCAGACATGCGGCTCCACTTCAGCTCCCCTGCGCCCTTTCCTCCCTGCTCGGATCAGCCATTCGCGCGTCGGCAGCCTTGTTGCAAGGGGGAGCTGCGAGCCGGACGGGGGAGACCAAGGCTAGGACCAGCGGGGTCCCTGGACCGGGGCCCTCCCGATCTGGGCATGCTCCAGGGCCCTGGAGGGGCCGAGTGGCAGGGCCCGCTCCGTACTCCCCAGCTGCTGCTGTGTGGCGCCTCCTCCTCCTGGACGCGTGGGCCACAGCCAGACTGCTGC